AAAGTTGCATGGGGTTTTATATTCATTGCAAATTGCAGGGACTGGGTTATTTCAAGAACTCTTGAGTCTGTTTCCATACCAGGATGGAGAGTTCCACAGGTCAGGTTGCACGTAGGTGGAATTGGGGAATTGGCTATAGCTCATTCTCTGTTCATTTATTCACCTCTTCAGCTAAGAGACAGAGGGAGAAGCTTGAGACTTCATCTGTTCCATCTCAGCAGTTGCTATTTTGAGCTACAGATGGAAAATGCAAGAAATCCAGCTTGCCAAGTGGCACTGAATCTGTTTCTTTTGTGCTACTCAGCAGTGGGTAAGCTACATGGCCTGCTGCCTACCATCCAGTTCCCTTTCTCTGGTTTTCTGGAAAGGATGTCTCTGCTGTCTTCTACTGCAGTTGCTGTAGTTCATCTTATTGTAGATGCCAGCTCTTACCACAGAGGCTGGCAAGAGTAATAGTGAGGAAAGGGGGCTGCGTAGTAGGGGTGTGCAAAGCGGGCCATATTCGATTTGGATTCGACCCGATTTGGGGGGCAGTGCTTCGATTCATTGATTCGGACACTGTCCCAATTCGATTCGGTCGAATCTGAAGATTCGATTCTGATTCAGAGAATCAGTGATTTGGTCATAGACACAGCTTTATATGCTTTTTCTACATACCTCAGTACCAGGTGCGAATACAGCTCATGAATGCTGAGATGGTGGGGGGGATGGAGCATCCCACAGGAGTACTTCCAGCCCACTTCTGGGTCCACTGCTGAGCGTGCGACTTGGCAGTCGGCTACAGGGGGACCCTGGGTGCCCCCTCAGAACAAGGAGCGCAAGTCATCGAGCCGTGGGGTGAGGGGGGGAGTTCCCCACTCACTCCGCAGCGGACCCAGAAGTGGACAGGAAGTACTTCTGGTCTACTTCAAGATCCACCGCTGAGCGGGCTAGGGACCCCCCCCGTGCTCCTGTGGGACACTTAGTGGGGATAGCCCCACTATCTCAGCATTCACAAGCTGCCTGGTACCTTAAGGTATGTAGAAAAACATATAAAGCTGTGTCTATGTCAGAATCATTGACTCTCCAAATTGAATCAGAGGCTTCTGATTTGATTCAGAGAGATTAATGGGTCTCCTGATTCGATTTGATTCGGATTCAGAGATTCAGCTGCCAAATCGGGTTGAATCTCCTCCAGACTGAATCAGCGACTGAACCTTTACATGGTTCCACTGTGTAGCAGTTGCCTGGATAGACGTGCACTGAGTTTTCAAGGGGAGTGACAGCTCTTTGCGCAGACTAAAAATCATTGGTCTCACCTGACCAGTGGTAAGAGTAAGTATGCTGGGTGTCAAATATTTTTAGAGTTAAGGTGATTTCTTCTCAGTAGCCATAATGTTGCAACTAATTTTTACACATAAGCAGCTGTTGCAGATATGTTAGTGAGCTTGAAAAGTAGAAATGTAGCCTCTGGGGCACTCTGTTAACTTTGTTCAAGTCTATGTCAAGATTTGGATGCCCTTCAAAACGATACATTCTAGTTCCGTGGTTCTCAACTTTTTTAGACTGAGGCACCCCTCAGAAAATGCAAGCTCTTCACCTTTGCTCATTTTTTGAGTATGGAAAAATAACAGAGCAATTCTTCTATTGCAAAGTACTCAGAAAGACCAGAACAGGTCAAATTGTTTTTGACACTATAGATGATTATTTGAAATCTCTGGGCTTATCCTGTGAATCACCTGTGGGTGTTTGCACACCTAACAGTGCTAATTGTCAAAGATCAAAGTCTTTGATTTCGGATGTCGATGGCAAAAGAGCAAAAGATCAGATGGCAAAAGATCAGTTGGCAAAAAGTCAGAGGCTAACACAGCAAATTTTGTAATTGCAGTCTCACACTTATTTTTTAGTTTGTAACAGTGCTGCATATTCACACCCCTGTCTGTGCCTCATTTCAAATTACTTGAGCCTCTCATACGAGAGAGACACTAACCTTGAACAAATTGTAGCCTAGTATCGTGATGTCAAAAAGAGATACCGTACCTATAGTGACCAGATAAAGATGAAACTAATGGAACTGTAAAATTAAGTAATATGCTACGCTTGCCCTCTTGTGACCAAACAAGACCAGTACCACCCAAGCAAAAATATGGCCCCCCTTTGATGAAACTTGAGAAAACAAAGAGAGCACAAGTGCCAACTCTTTAATTATTCATACCAGGCGTATTATTGGTTATTTTGTTTCCTATAACTTGGAAAGAACTTCCACCCAAAAGCGGAGAACTGCGTATACACTCAAGAAGGGAGATCTCGGAGCATTCCCAAGAGACACAGTTTGTAACCTGATCAGTTACAAATATTATCTCTCAGCCTACGTATCTTTCTGGCGTGCCCCCGTTTTGCCGGCTCGTGTCGTCTTATCTTTCTCGCTCGTCTTATCTTATCTTTCGTACGTCCCTCTCGTCAAGAGCTCTCGGTAATCTGCAGACCGTAGTAATTTATGTAAACTGTTTGAAACCTGTACTCAGCAAGTCTGCAATCCACTGTAATCGCTGGGTGACAGAACATCTACGTGCTGTAACTAAGAAATCAACTGCTTCTGCCTACGCTGCAAGCCATCAGTGGCGTAAGAAAAATAAACTTTCTGTGTAACCAATGCGCTTTAAACCGTCTAAATCCTCTGACTCCTGCCCGCCATTAACACCCGCCTGTCTGGTCATAAATTCCCCCTCGCGCCAAGCTGGTCGTTGACCTGCAACCCAGGCTCACAGGTCAAGGGTAAACCGGCATCTGGGCGTGACACTAATATTGAGCAGCTCCCTATGACGTCCTTAAAACGATCTCATGGCACCCCAGGTTGCCACAGTACCCTGGTTGAGAATCATTGCTCTGGTTCAACCACAAATTAATTGGGAGCGGTGCAGTCATTAGCATTTGAGTATCATGATGCTGTTTTCTGCAGGCAATCAGATAAGATGATCCATAGCAGTCCTTTCTGGCTTAATATCCCTGAGGATATACTTCATGCTATACAATGAGTTTGAGAATCTGTTCCTTATAGTTAAAAGTAGGAATTAATAATAATTCATTTTGATTTTCGTTTTAGATAACTTGGCAATATGAAATGAACCATGCCAAGTGTTTTGTCCTGGTATATGTTGTCTAAGTGAGAAGTTATGCTTCTGTGGCTTTGTCTACTAGCACAAGCATCCACTGTAGACAACAGCCATCATAGGGAAAGTACCAGATTGTGTCTGTATGTGTACAACTTTCATCTGCCTCAAATTTGCTGATGACACTAAGATGTGGGGGGATGTGGGCACGCTAGAAGGGAGGAACAGGCTGCAGTCGGACCTAGACAGGTTACAGGGGTGGGCGGATGAGAATAGGATGGGAATCAATACTGACATGTGCAAGGTAATGCACCTGGGGAGGAAGAACCAGCAGCATACCGACAGGCTGGGGAACTCCCTTCTCGTCAGTACAGAGGCAGAAAAGGATCTTGGAGTCATCACTGATGCTAAGATGAACATGGGCCGGCAGGGTGGGGATGCAGTCAGGAAGGCCAACCGCACCTTGTCATGCATCCACAGATGCATCTCAAGCAGGTCCAAGGAGGTGATCCTCCCCCTCTATGCGGCACTGGTCAGGCCGCAGCTGGAGTACTGCGCCCAGTTCTGGGCACCGCACTTCAAGAGGGATGTGGACAACAACGAGAGGGTCCAGAGGAGGGCCACTTGCATGGTCAGGGGGCAGCAGGGCAGGCCCTACGAGGACAGGCTATGGGACCTGAACCTGTTCAGCCTCCACAAGAGAAGGCTGAGGGGGGATCTAGTGGCCTGTTACAAACTAGTCAAAGGGGACCAGCAGGCATTGGGGGAGTCCCTGTTCCCCCGAGTGCTACCAGGAGTAACTAGAAATAATGGTCACAAGCTGGCAGAGGGTAAATTCAGATTAGACATCAGGAGGCGCGCTACTTCACTGTCAGGGCAACTAGGGTCTGGAACCAACTTCCAAGTGAAGTGGTGCTGGCTCCTACCCTTGGGGTCTTTAAGACAAGGCTAGACAAATACCTTGCTGGGGTCATTTGACCCCAGTACTCTTTCCTGCCATGGCAGGGGGTCAGACTTGATGATCTGCTCAGGTCCCTTCCGACCCTACAAACTATGAAACTGTGTAGCTCCTCTTCATCAGCTGTACTATCAAGGTGTGAAGGGCACCCTGGGAAATGCAGTTACTGAACAGACTGTGACCATCAACAGAAGGTGTGGGCATGTCTACACCCACCTTCTGCCAGTTGCTGATTTGTGGCGGAAGTCTTTTTTCACTTGAAGAGGTGGTATTACCCTGCCAGCAAAAAGGTTTCTGTTGCTGCTGAGCAGCTTTGAGTATGAATGTATTTACATTACCTAGGAAAACTATTTAGTGTAGAACAGGCCTGTATCGTTTCTTCTTTGTTGGTATATCTTTGTAGCTAAGGAAGTACAGGTTGAATGAATGGACTGTAAGGTGATAGAAAAGTGGCTGGATCATTGGGGTCAAAGGGTAGCAATCAATGGTTCAATGTCTAGTTGGCAGCTGGTATCAAATGGAGTGCCTCACGGGTCAGTCCTAAAGAAGGGTTTCTTTACGATCTTCATCAACAATCTGGAAGATGGGATGGAATGCACCATCAGTAAGTTTGCAGATGATACCAAGCTGGGGGGAGTAGTAGATGCATTGTAAGGTTGGGCTAGGATTCAGAGACCTAGACAAAGTGGAGGACCAAAATAAATCTCATGAAGTTCATCAAGGACAAATTCAAAGTCCTGCATTTAGGACAGAAGAATCCCATGCATCACTACAGCTTGGCAACTGATTGGCTAACCAGCTCTTTAGAAAAGTACCTGGAGGTTACAGTGGACAATAAGCTAAATATGAGCCAACAGTATACTCTTGTTGCCACGAAGTCCAACAGCATGTTGGGCTACATTAGTAGGAGTGTTGTCAGCAGATCAAGGGAAGTAATTCATTCCCTCTATTTGGCACTGGAGGGGCCACATCTGGAGTACCGTGTCTAGTTTTGGGATCCCCACTACGGCAAGGATATGGACACATTGGAGAGAGTCCATAGAGGGTGATGAAAATGTTTAGAGTGCTGGGGAATATGATTTATGAGGAGAGGCTGAGGCAACTGGGCTTATTTAACCTAGAGAAGAGAAGACTGAAGAGGGATTTAATAACAGCCTTCAATTACCTAAAGGGCAGTTACAAAGAGAATGGAGTTAAACTGTTCTCAGTGGTGGAAGATGACAGAAAAAGGAGCAATGGTCTTAATTTGTAGCAAGGGAAATTTAAGTTAAATATTAGGAAAATTTACTCACTAGGAAGAGGCTGGAATAGGCTACCCAGAGAGGTTGTGAAATCTCCATCCTTATAAGTTTTTAAGACCCTGGTAGACAAAACCTTGTCTGGACTAAGGTAGGTGGGGATGGACCACCTTTGAGCAGGGGGTTGAACTAGATGACCTCCTGAGGTCCCTTCCAACCCTAATTTTCTATGATTTCTATGATTCTAGAATATTTACAGTCATATTGGCCTATAGTCCTTGACTTTGCAGCTGCTTTCCCCTCAAATGATATGTAAGCTAATGTTCTAAAGGCTGCATGAATTGTAGTCTTGTTCTTCCTTTTATCCTTTCTCTGCAAACAGTAGACAACCAATTTTTTTGTCACTGGAAAAGCAAACATCATTTTGATCTGAACTGAAATAAACTTATGAAGTGTGATGTAGTGATTAGCAATGGTTTGTTCTGTTTCTTCTGCTGAGTCTTTATTCAAATTAATTCTCACATTCTTGCGTGTAGATACTAGCAAAACAGATGTACTTGTACTTGCAGTTAAACTGTTACTATGAAACATGGGTATACTTAAATTTGAGCATCTTTTAATGACCTCACTTTCAGTATGAGTCTTGAAAACACAGTCCAGAATATCTTTCCTGGCACTCAGTATTATGGAATAACACTAGATGGAGCCAGAAAACCACATGAAACTGCTAAAATTCCTGTTCTATTTAATCCTTACATTTTCTTTTCAGTGGCCCCAGTTTTCTTTTCTACTTTTGCCATGAAATATAATTTTCCTATATCTGAGATATGTTTGAACTTTCCTTGAGGTACCCATGAATTGGAGCATCTCTGCCCCAAACTCCATGGGGTGGGTTTTCCCTTTGAGGCAGCCTTGGCTCTGCTTTAAGGGCAATAATCATAACTTCCTACTGCTCCCATAGTCATGGCCATGCCTTGCAGATATTAGCCTATGGGGAGGGGGTGGTGCTTGTTTTTGACTCTGAAGCTTGACAGGCCATGTGCAAACTTTTGTTGGAGCTTCCAACTCCCTGGCTTTAGCCCCTTTTCACTAGCTGGGCCCAGCCCATTTCTTGTTCTGTGGCCAGATCCTCATTAGGGAACTCTTTGCTGGTTGTTTCTCACACACCCCTATGGCCTCCAAATCACCCCCATAGCCACAACCGGGTGCTCTGGTACTAAGCAAACATAAACAGTAGCATAACCAAAATATAAGCAAACTGCTTTCCCCATTCTGGGGCAGTACCCTACTACAATCTATGCTTCCCAGTGACAGGCCCACTCTTGCTCTCATAGGTAGCCTGCTTCCTACAGCCAGCTTCCCTAGGGAGATCCTCTCTCTGCAGTATGCAGAATCTGACCACCTGCTTTACCTCAGGCCCTGGATTTATATGCCTCAATGCCCTGCCCCACTTCCTGTCATGTGGCTCCCCAGCCACACCCAGAAGTTTCCCTTTTTCATTAAGGGTCAGCCTATTTTCCTGCCATTGCAGTCCTATACATCTGGCTTATCCTGCTGTGTTCTTTTAGGCTAGGGACAGAAGTTACAGATAAACCAGTTTAAGTGATCAGAAACTGATTTAACTCTGTAATGGACCAGAAGCTCAGTGCACATAAACTAGTTTCAAAATGGCTGAAACTGGTTTAAGATACACCTGGTTGAATGTAGTATCAGACATAAGTGATTTGGGTCAAACGGGTTTATGAAACTTCTGTCTCAGACCCCTTCCTGGTGCAAGTGAAATCACAGTCCCCAGCATGCTTTTCAACCCTGGACTGGAATGTGCTGTCTACTCCAGAGAGCAGGGTGGCCCCACCCATCTTTTCCCTAGCCAGAGAAGTGAGGGCTGGCTGACAAAGGGTTGGGGGGGAGCCAGCTAGGGATATGACCCAGTCTGTTGGGGGGAGGAGATGCAGAGTCCTGCCACTGTGATTCTAGACTACAAATCCCAGAGACCTCGGGGGCAGCAGGAAGAGGAAGTGAACACAGAGCCAGAGAGCTGAGCTCTAGAGCCCCCTGGCTTCTGGCTGCATTTCCTGAATGAAAGGTAAATATCTGTTCACTTCTGTTTCAATTTAATCTGAGTAGTTTACTCTAACCTGGAAAGACTGAATCAATTCAGCCTCAGGCTTTTTGACTATCTGTACCTAGCTCTAAAGTAACAGGAGCTCTCTGGCTCCCTGTTACGGTTCACTTTCCCTGCACCGATCTGGAGGTGGTTGTGACAGTTGAATTAGGAGCAAGGTAGTAAAAAAATGGCCCACTGCACCAATGGACTTGCTTTTCAAAACAAGGTAATAACGTAATTCATTCAAAAATTCAATACCTATGCAGAGAAAAATAAAAGATCCAAAAACACTAAACTTCCACTCATTTGAATCTTCACAGACTTCTCATTTACTTTAGCTTCTTTTCTACCTTGGAGAACTCATAACACCACCACAGTCTCCCAATGCCTGAAGAAGGGTGTTTGTGCACACAAGCTTGCAAAAGACTTTTTCAAACTAATTCACTGGTCTAATAAAAGATATCACATCTACCCAGAGAACCTTGCCAGCCTATGTTCTTAGACTACCACAGCTACAACCAACACCCCAAAAAACAAGAAGCTGTATTTGCAACTAAATTAATTTGCTAACTTATTGAAGCTAACCAGAAGAAAATTGTTTCTTATCAGAGAGGAAGGAAAGAGAGATAAAATGCAAAGTGTATTATTGCCTGAGTAACATTTGGCAAAGAAAAGTCAATGCATTCAGGGCAGCTATAAAAAGAAGGCTCATGGGGACTTAATTAAAGTAAAATAATTAGAGCATCACTGGTGGAACACTTAACTAATGTTACTTGTGATTTAAACACTGCCACATCCTGCAGATGCCAGTTTCATGACTGTTCATAACATCAGAATAATGTCTCCACTATCACAGAGGAACCTTTTTTCTGTCAGGAAAATAACTTCAAAGAAAGATTAGATTGGGAGCAGAGCTGGTGTCCTTTAGAATAAAATAGCCCAAGTTTACTGACATTTAGAACACACAACAATGGTCACTTCTTTTTCATTCTCTTCCAGTGAGAGAAAAGTACTGACAGGAGAACCTAAGAATCTGAAATAAGTCCTTTTGCTGCTAGGTTATTGGTGGTTGTCATGAACAGTAAAAATACTGGGACTTCATTTTTACATTGACTACTGATTAAAAGATTGATGGAGTGGTCTCTTCCATAACAGTGTATTCAAGAATTGCCAAGGAGCACTATGAGCAATGGATATGAGTTCCTTTTTTAAACTTTAAATAAATCAATATACTGGGATTTAGCGGGTATGTTCACTAGATGGTGCTATTTTCCTGAGCAAGAAGGCAATATGTATAGAAAAAAATATATAGGCAAAAATTAGATTATCTGACTGAGTTAAATGAAGTAGGAGAATTAGAACAGCTTCTCTCTGAAACAACAAAAATCAGGAATGAATTTTGGAAGGAAAAAAATCTCATTTACAATACACTAGCAGTAAGACAGAGATTGGTGGTAATGCTAATGTTTTATATTATGTATGTATGTATGTGTGTATACACACACACACACACACACACAGATTGGTGGTAACTTAAATATTTTGAATATTAATAACTATTAGAGTTATCACCAATTTGTGTGTGTGTGTATTCAAAATATTAGAGTTACCACCAAGATACCCAAGAGAAATTAATAAAAAAAGCAAAAGAGCCAGAAGCTCAACAGGTATAAAACCCTTGTCAAAGAAATTATTTTTCTCATAGTTTATAGTTTTGTCTCTAACCACTTAGCTCCATGATGGATGGCTCTCTGAGACCCTCCAAACCTTCACTTGTCTCTCTGTGTCCTTTACTCTAACTTTGTGTCAGTATCTATATATCTTCAGTTTTCCTCCTCCTCAATAAGAAATTTCACTTAAGTCATATGGCTGATACAAAATGCCCTAAACTTGTTTTTCCAGAGAACTGTTAATAGAATTAAGCTTTTGGAGGTTTTATTTGCTGTTGGCCAATGCATATGATGCAAATGAAGTCAAGTTCAGTTTGCATACTGTGATGGTTTCCAAATGGATAGAGTTAAAGCCTGAAATCGGGTCTGAGATGTGGCAGGCAAGGTCTGGTTAAGAAGACCTGCTTTGCTAGCTTGAGAAGAAGTTCTAATTCAATTTTGTACTAGTCAAGAAGGTTCCTCTTGGGTAGAATGTGCTACTATCGTGGAGTGTGTCAGACTCTGAGTATCTAATTTCTTTGTTATGCCTGGTAGCTTGTGAACTCTGTAAATGTCTGTAAAGGTGGTAAGGTTTTGGGAGAAGGACCTTGGATAAAAATTTCAAAGCCTCTACATGACTTAGTGGCCAAGGTCCCATTAGCAAAAGATATACCAGGCATGTCTGCACAGACTCTGGACCATGGGAAGGAGCACTGTAGTAAGTGCATACTAAACCATGAAATAGATGATACATGGCTCCAGGTGATCACCAATGTGCTGTTTGTCTCCTAGGGGTGCTTGACCCTCACTGGTTGTAAGACAGCTACGTTCTAATTGCTTGGAGTTTAGAAGCAGAGGCAAATTCATGGCGTTGCAGTGGTACGGCCACACTGCCTTTGGCTGTGCCCTGCATGCACAGTGAGGTCTCAATTTATTAGCACTTCAGCACAGTTGCTGCTGGGAGCTTCACATGTGCTGTGAGCTCTATGAGTTTATGAGTTGATCTAAT